AAGAATGGATTTCAAACATCAGAGCAAGCTTTTAGAACCAGTCCTTGCTACAGATACTTACTGAGTATCTGTAAGTCCTGTATGATTTGCTTTGTGGTAATTTGGTACCATTCCACGACTAGAAGCAAAATGATATTGAGAGACCTGAACATCTCCTGACTCTTAAACAGTTTATCCCCTATAATGTTTAGAATACTACTTATAAATACCAAATGTTAATACTTTTTTATATTAACATTAATAAATAAGATTGATCTATATCTCAAACAACATAGAAAGTAAATTTTTAAAAGTTTTAACAAACAATAAATAAATATTTTAATTTAAAATTTTTATGTATTTAACTTTGTTTTAACCCAACAGGCAAATGAAAAACCATTTGTTTTTCTCATTTAATTTCATTTTAAGGCCTGAGTCAAACTTTTCTCTGCACTTGGGACCTTCCCATCTTCCAACAAGCTAAGCTCTTTGACAGTGTACTAGCTGCTTTGTTAGAACCATAACATGTAAGAGATACAGATTGCAACCCTAGACATCTGGAAAAGCTAATGCCTAATTCCTCAATATCCACAATTGTGAGTGTGTAGCTGCCATTGCAGAAAAATATATTTTCCATTATCAGAAATAATGAACCAGATTTCCCAGTACCCACTCAACTAGAGTAATACATGTGAGGCTTCCTAGTAGAAATTAACGAACTTAGTAGTGCTCCAGTGGCCTGGAATCCTTAATGAATATCCCAAAACACTTTACCTAACGCTGAGAGGATGCGTCAGCACTATGGGAAAAAAAGAAGCCCATAATTACTTAGCTTTTTATTTAAATCATCTTTCACACTGTTTAGTCTCTCCTTACATAATCTGGAGTGTAGACTTCTTCAGTCCTGAGGGTGTCCTGACACATGTTGTTGGAGGGGTGGGAAGAGTAGGTATTTAAAAACTATCTCTGTGCCTAGTAGCTCAAGTTCTATGTGAGCAATGAGACTTTATTTCAGTGGAGCCAACTTACATGTCAGTGGCCACCCACCCAGTCCTAGTCTATCAAATGCTAATGGAAAATTATCATGAGCATTTGAATGGGTGAGAGCTCAGCAGAGAAGAAATTGCTGTATATTTAGAGTCATTTTACAAACTGCCTCTATCTTCAGAAAATTAGGCTACTTTCCTTCCTATCATCCCATTTTTTTCAACTTAGTTTTGAAGTCACAGGACAGAATCTGATTCATACCAATAATGTCTCTTTGTTCTTGGTTCTACTGCTCTCACAAAAATGCTGTAGGCAGTTCACTAGAATGACTAATTTACTGGAGAAGTTATCAGAGTCCATTCAGTTGCAACTATAAAATAATTCAAGTAAGACAATGGTGCCTGCTAGCACTCCATGGGGAAGGTTTGTCCGTGAAACTGTTTGATTCACCCCAACATATTCATCCATGAAGTTTAAGATCTCATGTAGAAGGCCCTGTTCATAATCAATTTTTCATCCTATTGTAAATAAAGAACTGAAAATAGGAGAGTTTTTTTTAAAGGTAAAACAAAGTCAAACCATTTTTCACACCACTCAGAATTTTGCATCCTGAAATTTAAATATTTTAAATACTATTTATATTATAATATTTAGAAACAAAACTGCCTTCCCTGAGTTAGTTTCAGATATTCTTGTTGTACTGATCTGGAAGGCGCTGAACATTAAGGAGTCCATGTATGTATACTGGTTTTGCCATTTTTAATTTTTAAAAAATCTTATTCATCATGAGCATAGCAAGAAATATCAATAAACATAGGCTTAGAATGTAAACATAATAAAGTGGTAGAAATTGTCATGTTTGCCATTACTCAAACAGTGCAAAGTCACCCAGATGCCTGCACTTCTACTGGGTTCTGTCAGGAAAACTGCAGTAACTTGCTAATTCACCCTACACCAGCTGGGATTTTCTTCTAGTACTGAGCTCTCAAACATTTTATAACTGGGTTTATCCATATTGAAACCAAGAAAGTTTAGTCTTCACAGAGCCATTCAGTATTCAGAATATTACTTCCCTCCAGTATTAAAGGTAAAGGACTGGAGTTAGACTATTACAAATAGTAACGGTAGTTGTCAAAAACATTAAAACTTTAAGCATCTGTCTTTCCAGAAAAGTGCTACTCAAACCCAAATGAAGTAAAGAGAAAATAAAAGACTAGAATGCAATCAGACAGATACAACAGAAGAATATGAAGACTAGAAATATGACAGAATGCAGTGCTTCCTGTCTCAAAATTTTTAGAATTGTTTATGTGGTCCCTCCCCTCAGGCTGCTAGGACCCACGCATGTAGGATTGGGACGGAGTAAACAGAAACACTGGAGAGGGCTCAGAAGTGTCAGCCCAAGGCTGAAAGAACGTGTCCCGGGCCAGTCCCTGTCCCAGGCCAGTCCCTCCGTCCTGTCCCGGGCCAGTCCCTACGTCCAACCTCAGCCCTTACTCTGCTCCCACCTCACATATTCTTTGTAAAAATATTGAACGATTTTAAATTCCCTACACATGACAGGCCTCCTCACATCTCCCTGCCTTTAGGAATAATGTTTCCTCTTCCTTGCTTCTATAAATTCCTGTTTGACTATGTTTTAGCCCAAATATAACTTCCTCTGGAAATCTTTCTCTTACTGCCCCAGAAAACCTAGATGCTTTCCTTTATGTTCCCACCATGTGTTATACAAGGTACATTATTAGAAATGCTCTCATTTTACTCATTTTACCATAAATGTGTGCATACTTCCTCCCCTCTAAGCCCTTTTTTGAGAGTGAGAATTCTATCTGATTCATTTTTATATTCCTAACATTTATTATAGTGCCTGGCACACTGTGGATGATCAATAGCTTTTTTTAAGGATTAAATGAGGGAATTAAAATAACGACATTATAAATTCTGCCTGAAATTTCACGAAAAATGTTTTGAAGTGGGAAATAAGAAAGCATATACAAATGGGGCTTTTTTGAGTATTTCTCAGTGGGAATGTCAAAACAGCAACTCTCAAAACAATAGTTGTCATGGGACAAAATTCAATACACGAAGACAATGTGCGGATCGTCAGGAAGAGGACTCAGTGCTGACCTATAGGAGTTCTGCTTTTGACACATTTTACAAGTGAGTAAAGAAGAAAGAGCCAACCACAGAAGTAGGCCAGAAAAGTGTCCTGGAAGCTGAGTAAAGGGTCCTTCATGAGGGAGGGAATGACACCTCACTGAAATCCTGCTAAGAAGCAGGGCAAAATTAGACATTTGGGAGGAGAGGGGGTCCAAAGCCCAAGTCGAGGTCTTGGCCATTGTTCAGAGTAGGTTCACTCTGTTCAACAAAGAGAGAAGAAGGAACAGATGGGTGTGGAGGCAAGTAGGCTCCTAGATGGGGTAGAAGGAAGATGACAGCTAATTTCATCCCAAAGCTCGCAAAATCACATTCTTCGGGTCATGCTGCAAGGATACAGATCACATTTCTGTCAGGGAAAGCCATGTTTTATGGGTAAAAGACAGTCACAAAACACCAAAGGCTAGCGATAACAGACGTCTGTTTCCCATGCATACTAGTGTGTATGTCACAAGTCAGCTGTGACCTGGCTTCCCTTCGCCCTATATCTAGAACTTTGCTGACTGCCGTGCAGAGGGAAAGAGAAGAGGCAAACTCTGCCCCAGCTCTGCAGGTTTCTGCTGGAAATGACACACCTCACTTCTGCTCATTATTTCCTTGGCCAAACCACATCAAAAGGCCATGTCTGCATTAAACAGTGCAAAGATACAGGAAGACACTGAAGAGAAAGCCAGGGAACATGGGCGAAAAGTTTTTAGTTAAAAAAAACCGGAGGCGAAACTAAGATACCCAGGATTTTTTTGTATCCTATGACTACCTATTCTCCACAACCATGCTCACTAGACCAAAATAACTAGTTTATTTTAGAACTTTCACTGGGCTATTTCCACCCCCTAAACTGTCATTCCAGCTGTAACTTTAGTCTCCCCTTTGATAGATGGTCACAGGCAATTTCTGCAATCCACTCAATCAATAAGTATTTCCTATGTGCTAGTTATCCCTAAGTTATTAAGACCCACCTCTGCCATAAAGAAAATTGTTATACTTTCCATATGACGAATGGGTAAAATATATGCTTTATGATCATTGTCATGTGGCTAAGTATCTCCTAGGTTTGAGAATACTCTAAGATTCAAAGTGATTCTATTACATATGAAATCTGGATGTTGACTCCTAAATTAACTTATGTATACACTGTATTTTATGACAATTAAATGGATTTTCTCTTTTTTGGAGAATGAAGAAATGCTTATAAGAGATTCTATTCTTTGCAATTGTGCCTGAATTGTACCATTTTTCTTCAAAACATTTTTATTCATAACAATTAGAAAAAAATTTTAACTATTAATTAATTAAATGATTGCACAGGATGGATTCATTGGGAAAACATTCTGCTAAGGTTCAAAATGCAGACAGATAAATTTAACTTGTAGAATTCAATGACAGATAAGAGAAAGAAAGCAAGGTTGAACTAGCTCATCTGTAAGTGAAAAAATATATATAAGGCTTCCATAAGCCTTCCATAAATTAAAACACCCTTGTTGGTAACTGACTGGCATAGCAATAAGACAGCAGAAAATTTCCTAGCAAATACAGTTTACCCTTTAAACAAAGTTCTTCATGGTATTTTCCTATATTTAAAATGATTCCTGTCCAGGGCATATTGCTACTTTGTATTCCTCTTGATATTTTCATTTAAAAGAGAGCCGCTGTGCAAAATCATGTCCTTGTCTGTCCCTTCCTCATACAAACCTCCAATCAAATTTAATAAAGCTAGTTTGATACAATGCCAGCCTACACTTGGTTTACCCTTGGTCGACTTTAATAGGGTCAAAAATATTTTCGCATTGGCAGTATACGCATTAATCATTTTTCCAGAGGATTTAGAAAATTGGAAGAGACAAGGCCAAGCAAAATTTTAAATTAATTGGGCCTACCCCAGCCTTCCAGGGTCACCTTGTGGCAGTTGTCCCACATTTTCCAGGTCACGGAGTCCCTGTGTCTCCTACAGCTGCCACGAGGAGAGATCCATGCTGTGGGCACACAAAGGTGAAAGAATTTCTCTCAGAAAGTGCGAATTTTCCTACGGCAACCACAACAATTGCAGTTTCCAGATTGTCGCCAGACACCAACCACTTAAATAATGCATGCTCGGCTGACGCCTCCACTTGTGCATTTTCTAATCGAGTAGTCAGGGAAATTTGCAAACACTCTGTCATTTACCATAAATCCGTTGCCTACTTATAACCGCAGAGTAATTAATTTTAGTACTGCTCAGAATTATTAATTTCCACCAGAAAAATCTGTTTTCACAAGTGTTAGAGCCCCCATTTTTTCCCTCCACTAACAGTCATCAAAAAGGTTGAAGCCTTCTCCTTACAGGGAAAGGTTTATTCAGAGTCATCATTGAGAGTCTATGTGAGAGCAATAATGGATCTCTGTTTCTGGTCCTCATCTATAATCATGTCCTCACAGTTGACTGGCTGACACACCAGAAGAAGTTGGCCGTGTGAAATAAAGGCTTTCATAAAAGTAGGATCCAGTAGTCCTTTTCTGTTGGTTGTTTCTCCTCTGCCATTAAACTGTTTGATCTGTTTCTTTTAACAAAAAAAAAATCTCCTAACACGGTTTCAAATGAGTATCTTGACGAATCTAATAGTTTCAAGAAGACTTTCGGGGCAGTATTGTTACTAGTTAGCCTCTTTGTGTTCCTTTGTCGTGATGCAATTATAAAAGTACACAGAACGTCTATGACAGTGATGACTAATTTTTAAATGGTATCTTTTGTAAGTTTCTTTAAAAAAATAATCTATAAAACCTTAAAGTCACTTTTGTTGCAATAAGCCTTAACTATAACATTTCACCAATTTTTTTCAGTGCAAAATCCACATTTTATTAAAGACATTTGGGAAGAGCCATTCAAAAATACATTGTGCTTAGTAAAAATTAACCATTTTATGCTGATAATTAAGGTTATCATGGAATAGATATTTATATAATATTTACAGGAACAATAGAAATTTTACAGAGGTTTAGAATGGAATACATGCCAGAAAAAAAGTTGATAGGATGTACCAACACATGATACAAAGACTTATATACTATGCCTCCAGATGATGGGCCACCACTTCACATCTGGCTCTTCTAAGACAAGGTAGCACTGAGCTACACCCTCTGTACAGAAGACACTTTGTGCCTTTTGAGAAAAATAGCAAATATTTCTCACTTGTTTAAATGATCTTAGTATTTGGCAGAAAAAGAGAGTAAGAGTCTTTACCAAGGATAAAAATAACCTGTAGTGGAATACACAAGTTTGAAGACACTGGTATGAAAATCTCAGCAATCGTGTGAATATCTAACACACACAGAGTGAAAATTGAGCATTAAATATGGTGCATTGTATCTTGGTAAAGCTAAATCTGGCATGCTCTTATTGGGTCTTGGTTTCCTGCTTAAGGAGCTGCATGTCACCAGCCTGCCCATGTTATAAATATGTAATGAGCATGAGAAAATTGGTATAGCTTTGTTTGACTGATGGCCAGGTACCTCCCTATCAGTAGCAGGAACCCATAGCTGCACAAGTATTGGCACTTTAATTGCCATGGAAGATTTCGTTTCCGTTTTCCACTGCTTGAGTGATCAAGAAAAAAAAAAAATGAAGGGAAAGTAAACTAACATCTAGAGATGTAAACATGACTCACTGGGAAATCAGACATGGTTAAGTAACTTCCAGGATGTTTGTGGTTATCTGGGTCTAAACACTGCTGACAATTCCGACTACTCTTGTTTTTAACTGTTTTTCCTCTGGGTGCTTCTTAGTTCGAGTGCATTCTTATAGAGACTTTCAACCTTTTGATTATGGACAGTCTAACTGTCAGATAGCAAGGAAGAGATGTCAGTCAGTGTTAATGGAACTACCTAGTAGATTGCAAAACACTCTTAATAATTCCATGATCTAGAGGAAGACTAATGATTTGAGAGCAGGGTTGAGAAAACCTGACACTGTTAAACATCTTTATACTGTACTTTATTTTAGTAATACAGTAGGGTCACTCCGAGATGATATGGCTACTGTTACGTTGAAATGTGAAATTCCCAAAAAGAGACCAAGTCACAGGCATATAGAAAAAGATCACAAACACAGGAAAAAATATGTCAGAAAAGGGATTTTTTAAAATTAAGGTAAGCCACTTGAACTTGGGAGACTTGAGGTATTTGACACACACTCTTGAGTAGAACTGAGAAGAGTCTAAAACATGCGCTCAGTGTGAGGTCCAGGCTCGGCTGGATCTGCATCACCTGGGAATCTGCCAGGAACTGATGCTCAAGCCCCACCTCAACCTAATGCATCGCTACTTCCTATTAACAAGATCTAGGAGAGTCAAGGGCATATTAAGTCTAAGAAGCACTGGTCTAAAACATAGCTGTGGAAGGGAAAGAAAAGTCACAGATATTACACCAATCACTGCTGAGAATAGCAGCTTTTCACCTTTATTTCAAACTAACTAATTGCATTCCAGTACAGTATATTCTCTTTCCCCACAAGGTTTCCATACACAAAAATAATGTTGTTCCAAACATGGACACAGTGAGCACATCTCCAGTAAATTCACTTGTATTTCACTCAAGGGTGGGCTCACTTGAAAGAAAGGAAGTACTGTATACTTAACAGTCAAGCAAAGGGAAAAAAAAAACCAACATCTCTGTAGTGCTATTAAAATTTTGGGGGTTATATTACACGGACTTTCTCATTTCTTCTGATCTGTCCTCTTGTTTAGGATGGTAGATTTGACAAACGTGCTTTTGGAGCTATCATCTTTTATCTTCTTGGCTACACAGCAAAGCCCTGAGTCCTCCCAAACTGGTGAAAAAAAAAATCCATCTTTTTTTCCCCCAGTCCTTAAGTTTCCTGGGCTATGGTAAAGGTTGATGAAAAAAAGGAAACATTTTTGTAAATCACTGTGATAAATAATTCAAATGTTGTGTAACCAACCCAGAAAAAGAACAGACTTCAACCCCATCAATTAGTCATTACTAACTACTGACTTGTACTATAACATCAGTGGTGTTTCTGGCATAAAATATTAGGGAGTTACAACCAGGATGTGGACTTAGAATACAGGACTTCAGAACACATGATTTTTTAATGAAATATTTGTTACTAAATTGAGCCACCAATGAGCTGTTATGTTGCTCACTATTACTCTTCTCTATTAATCACAAACATTCAAACTTTAATTCATGATATTTTGTTGAAAGAAGCACTGTGCTGATCCACGCTATATTTTGACAGCAAACTGAATTCTTGTTCACAAGTATAGGATTTGTTTAGCTCCAGGCATCTGTGTTTGGATTACAAGAATGCTGATTGGTTCACTGCCAGGGGCACCCAAAGGTCAAACTGTCCTTTTAAAAGTCTCTCTCTCTCTTTCTCTCTCTCCTTCCTTTGTCTCATTAATCAGAGTTAACAGATAGAGGAAAAGGCAATGACTTCAAATCATTTAATTCTTTTCCAAGGATATTTTTAAAAGCATAACTCAGTGTTGGTGTGAGGTCAAGTCGGTGTGAGTGCAGATCACACTGGCACACTTCTGACAGGTGACCTGAAACCTTTCAAACTGACATCTGTCACAGAGACAGACACAAGTTTCTTAGCCCGAGAGCTTGTTTTCCTGACATTTCATTTTTCATCAGATTTTGAGAGAAGGGAAAAAGATGAACTTGAAAAAGTCTTGCCAGGGGCAGAAAATAAGATCAGGTTTTCTGCAGCTGCCTGACTCACCTTTAAAGGTTAGAGGTCTAGCAAAAGTGAACACAAAAGATCTCAGTTTGATGTTATTGGATAAAAGGGCATGTTATTACTTTAAATACATTTCTGAGACTTGCATAACCATTAGGCAGCATTGCAGGAGAAACGGAATCTGAGTGAGATTACACATCCATTTTAAATCCCAATTCTAGAGTTTAGTCATGGAGTAAATCAAATCCAACCTCACCGATTCATCTGCCACAAAAGATGAAATCCACAGGTGCATGAATTTTCTTTCGCTTGAATTGAATAATTTCCTCCTCCTATGATATTGATATGGTGAGTGAAATTTAGGCAAGGTATTGAAATTCTTACTTTGGGCTAGAGGGATTTCTGCATTAAAATATTTGCACGGTTTATCTTGACAGAGAAACAGTAGGAAAACCTGCTATTGAATAAAAGAATAGAACCAGGAGCTCAAAAATCACTGGGTTCTGTCTTGGCTCTACTAAAAGTGTGATCCTGGGTAAGTGACATTTCTGTTGCAGTTTTATCACCTGTAAAATGGGGAAAATCATATCTACCTTGTGAAGTTCCAGTGAGGATGAAATAGGATACTGTATTTGCACACTGCCAAATATAAAACAGTGCATCGATGAATGGAAACCATACTATACTTTTTTTTTAATTCCAGTGCTTAATACAGCACTTGACATGAAGTTAGCATTCAGTAGATGGTTCCTGATTTTAAATAAAAGGTAGTAATTTTTAACTGAGTCCAGGAAGTGTTTCTTTGAGGAATAGCATGGTTGAAGTTTGGGAATTGCATTCCTCTGTGGACCATCTCCAAAAACAGATTCAGGAGCAGTAACTTTGGAATTCATTAAGAGAATAAACACATATGAGGCCATATAACTTTCAAGCCTAAAGAAACAGGTAAGTCAATCTTATTGGGACAGAACTGTTCCTATTTTCTAAAATAATGGCTCACGTGTTGCTAACTGGCCAGCGTTCCCTGGAATATCAAATGCAGTGTTTTCAGCCATAATGCTCATGCTAGTACAGAATCTGAGACAGCACAGAATTTACTTAAGTCAAATATCCTGGATCTGGCCAGCTAAGTGTGAAAATCTAACTCATCTTGATAAGTACACCTTCACAACAGTTTCAAAATGTTATTTACATATCCTCCTGACAACCCTCCTCCACAAAGGCAGAAAGAGCATTGCCGACTATGCCTTACACGTTTGTGATACTTAATATATGGTGCTTATTATCGAACTG